TTATATTGAAGAATTCATCTGAAATAAGATTCCATAAAGGAAAAAGATACTACAGCTAAATTCTCACAAGCCCAATGACAGGAGCCACAGATCTCTGTAAAATGTTGAGTGCATTTTACACAATGATTCGTTTAATTTATAAATACAATAAACTTAACAAGCTTTATTGCTTTATTTCCTAGGTGTTCATGTGTTTGGTCTTTGTTCTACTGCTCTTGTTACTGATATTATACAGCTATCAACAGGATATCAAGCACCATATTTTCTGACCGTCTGCAAGCCTAACTATACATCCTTAAACGTATCCTGCTCAGAGAATTCATATGTTGTGGAAGATATATGCTCAGGAGCTGATGCTAATATTATCAATGCTGGAAGGTTGGTTCTGTCCTTTACTTTTTCTAGATAAAGTCTGTACGAGTTTTGCTTTTTGCTTTAAGTAATAAAGCAGAGGACATTAGCATTTTTAGTGATGTTTAATTTTCTTTATGAAGACATTAGGCCAACTGTGGGCTTTGGAAATCTTTGTCAGATTCAGAAGCATGTTAAAAGTAGTTAATTATTTTCCTTCCTTCAAAGGAGAAATCACAAAGCACTTCATTGAATACAATAGCAGTCTTGTCTTTTCCACACCAGTTTAAGCTCTTGTTAGTCATTTATATCACATTTCTTTGCATTTTTTTGCAGTCCTTCAAATTTTTTTCTATATGGTGCTTTTTAAAAATTTCCTGCTCTCTAATAACATTACAGCAGAATTACAGAATGTTTGAAATGACGACGATTTCTGTTATTGACTGAGATGCATAATTTTCTTATGTACCCAATTAGCAGGCATGAAAGCAGTATTCTTTTCTTCTGTCCAATCCACTCACTAAAGCTTTGCAGTATTTTCTGGTTCTCTGTGCAGGTCAAGATGCTAGCTTCTGTTTTAACTTTATGCCTTATAGCATTGCATTTTTGTCACATGGATATTATTAAAACATTTTGACTGTATCACCAAGGCATAACTTCCCTAGTTTATTTGCTTTTACAAGGGTTGTTCTGAAAGTAATGCCTCCTATTTTATTATGTTGGCCCATGACATCAAAGGCACATGTTAGCAAAGGTTGAACCTTCCCACCAATATTCCATTACATTTTGTTGCCAGGTGACAGATGGCAGCAGAGGGATAGTCTAACAAAGTGGTGGCTGACATGGAAGTGTGTATGAAGCAAAGGTGTGTCACTGAATCCTTCTATGCAGAAAAAAAAATGGCAACTACAGACATTCACTGATGCATGCTAAACATTTATGGAGACTCTTATTGGATGTGAGCACAGTGAGTGGTAGATGGTGCATTTCAGAAGTGGTAACAATGGGTTCACCTCCACTGGTACAGATTTTTCCAAGGCCAGCTTGCAGGCTCTTGTTCATTGCTGACAAAAACACATAGCTAGTGGTGGTGACTATGTAGGAGGGAAGAAAAAGTGTTTTGTAGCTGAAAATAATGTTCTATCAAACAGTGTTATTGAGTTCTTCGTATCTGTTGTAGTTTCCATGGAAATAAATAGGAAGCACTACTTTCAGAGCAACCTATGTACATTGATTTCAGTGATTGACATACTTGAGAATCATGAAATCATTCACACTTACAGCAAATTTCCTAGTCTGTCTCTATTCACTGAGGCAAACCAATTTCACTAACGTTTAAAGATTCTCAACTATTTATTTGATCGTAAATACGTTTGGTCAGCAGAGGCTCGTACACTGATTCATTTGCCATCTTTGTTATTTATGTATCTGGGTATGATTGTATCTTCATTTGGCTTAAGTAATTTGGCCTTCACCTCACTCCTGTAACCATCTGCTGTTACTGTGATACTGCCATTGGATCCTGATGTTTGCAAGCAATGTCTTGCAACTACACAGTTTCCCAGTGAAACTGGTGCAGATTTACAGGTTGAATAGGAACAAAAATTTTCACAATTGCTCTCATTCATTTTGTTATCATCTCAGATAGAATGCCCTGAATTGGCTGTCTGTAGCCATTCCAAAAACTCCAATCATATTTATGTTTAAATATCACCACTCTAAAAAAAAACAAACACAAGTGAAACAGTTGTAACAGATTAAGACTAAGCAGTGGGTTTTTGTGTTACTATTTCTCAGGAAGACAACCATATACTAATAAGTCAAATTTACTCCTATCATAGAGGACATATTTGATTAACTACAATACTCTGATACATCTGATCCCACCCTCAGTTTCTCCTTACTAAAATTTTATTGTCATTTTCCTTTACCAAATTCTTGTTTTCATATAACTGTGACAACTTCAGCAAAGCGAACAGCAGTTGCTACTGGTTCAATACTTCCTTCAGTCACCTAGTATGGGAGTTACAATATAACTTCTCTAGCTCAGGAGATTACTTTGACTTCAGCAATTTCAGTTTTTAAGGCACTTGTTCTTATGACACTTATAATGGCCTTCATTTTTTAAATTTGTACATTCTAGAAACTTTGGCTCTAGAAATTTTTCTCTAGACTCCCCTATGAATTAATTTTCTTCAGCATCTTTTTTCTTTCATCCTTTTTCCTCTGTTAATCTTCAAAGAATCCTTTCAATCATTTCTATTCAGATCTCCAGTGAGTTCTCTACCCTCTGTTGTTTCTGATGTTCTGACTCAGTATGACTCTCTAATCGTTATTCCCCCTCCATGCATTCCTCATGCATGAGCATTCAGAGTGATATACTGTCTCATGAGCTCAGGGCATGTTTTCTTTGAGACCTTTGTTCACCTTTTCAATAAAGAGCCAAGCAAAAAGCCTACATATTTTTAGCTTGAATTATTTTCATTTTAGATGAACAGCAAATAGAAAAGACCAAAAGCAGCGTCACCATTAGAAAGTACACGGAGTGCACCTACTGTGCTAGCTCTAAAAGCATGTGAATAGAAAACAGAACAAACAGAAAACTGACTGTAGCATAGTGACGTATCTTGTCAGCAAAATGCTATCAAATTTAGGTTAAGTTCTGAGTGGTATTAAACTTCACAGAATCAAACCTACAGAATAACTCCACAGAGACTGTACGTAAATGTATACTTATACTAAAACCTGCACAGAGCAAAGGAGTTGATAGATATTATATGCACCTATATTTTTTTTAAATATTTACCCTCTTGTCCTCCCCTGAACCAGGGATACAAACTGAGAAATGCTTGCTCAGGAGAAGGAAGAAAAAATAGGTCTGTCTTTATAAGTGAAAAAAGGAATCATACTGATTTTATCTTGGCCGGAGTCAAGGAGCTGCTGGAGCCATGAGCTCAAATTCAGGTCAGCAGCGTGGCATTCACACTGACCTACATTCACACATTTCATTACGAATGAATTATTTAGAACAGACAAAGCAGAATGCATAGGAAATAAATTTAGAAAGCAGAATCTGCTCCTTTGCAGAAAAACGTCTAAGGGCAAAGGACTATATTTCAATCTCTGCTATTTTAACTTAGCTGAGGTGCTGCTAGAAAAAATGGATGTAGAAACATGGAGCCCAGCTAGGTTGTCAAAAACCACCTTGAATGATTGTTCAAGCATTTATCCCAAGCTGAGCTTTCTATTTTCAGCCTATCTCAGGTGAAAGTGGCTCCTGTGACTGCAGGATGGACATACTCTTCTTCACCAAAACAGCCAGTATGTTACACATCCATGCCATTTAAAGGGAAAAATGTACAGCTGTAAACTGATATACATCTGAAGTATTCACTTCTAGAGCTCAGAATTTTTTTAGGGCTTTCACAAGCCATGGACTAGATGTCTCCCATAGAATAGGTGTTACTGAATCCACACCCAGCTAAATTCTTGCCTCTACTATGTAAAATCTCTTCTTTACATTCTCATCTTTTTTATTTTATTTTATTTTTAGCCAATTGAAATGGGTTTAGAAGAAGAATAAGATAAGAAAAATAAGATTTTGCCTACTGTCTCACATAGTTTGGAGAAATTTTCATTTACAACCCTGTTCTGTGCTTCAGGAAAGGACTTGTTAACATCTAAAAAGTCATTCCATGTTTTTGCACTCCATTAACTCCTACTGTGTTATAAAATGTTAAAA